AGTTTTATTTAGATAACTATTGTAATTCAAATTCTAAATAGGTACTACATTCTATTTATCGATTCTCGGTAGGATTTAGTAGCCGATAAAATGTTGCAATATATGACGTCTTTGAAATGGATTTTTCTATTGGTAGTTGGATATAATAATCGTGGATAATTCAATTTTCTCTAAAAGAGAAAGTGGATATTTCAATTGAAAGCATTCCTCGTGAACTTGGATCTCTATTTACTATGGTAAGAGAATAAAAACAAGATAATTAGGAATTTAAATAGACATTATCTATCTATAAAATAAAACCTGCATATTCTTATGCCAACAAGTATTTTCCCCTTTTTATCAAATTCTGACTATTTTTCAGATAATCGATTACACATGATTATAGTTCACGGCTAACAAAACAACCTATAATTAGTTCACGTGGGATGGGATTAGGGTTGGACAATATAATATTGTTATAAGGAGTTTTAAATTTAAATTGTTGAGCTATGGAATAGGACAAATACGATATTGTTGTAGTGATAGTAATTTTAAATTGTTGATTCATGTAAGATTATTATAGAATAGTTAGGTAGGATTAGGATAGTTATGATTAAAATGTAATATTCAATATAGTGAAGGGTAATATTGACCGTGAAAAGTTTTTTTCCGAACTCATACTTTTAAAGGGAGTATGATGTGTACATACTTTTAAAGGGAGTATGATGTGTGTGTACAGAGGAGAGAGAGAGAGAATAATGGGTATGATCGGTATCAAGTACCAAATTTGGTGCTTGGTAGTAAAGTGGTCACTTTTCATCTACTCATTCTATTATCCAACCCATGTGCACCAATGTGAATGTGGTTCCCCTTTTAAGTAAGTAGATGAGAATGGGTCACTTCGCTATTAAGCACCAATTTCGTGCTTGGTACTAAGCATACAAAGTTATATTATATAATAATATATAATATAGTATATATATATATAATATATATTATATATAATTTATATAATATATTAGATATATATTGAACTGTCCTAAGTGGAATAGTGAATAGTGTGTCCACCAAAGTTTTTAACCACTCATATTGGCCTAGGGATCATTGATTATATAAAAATTGGTGTTTTATATTATAAATATGTGGCTACAAGTTTTGTGAGATATCAACTTTAGTTGATAGGATCTTGGCTCGCTCGTCGCTCTCTCTCTCTGCTCTCCTATATATATATTATATATATATAATATATATATATATATATATAATATACTTGGTAGCCAAGCATAATTTATAGTGCTTAGTAGTGATGGTGGATGGCTTCTGATCCACACATTAAAAAATAGTCCCTTTTTTATTAGCCTAGCTGGCATTAAATGAGTGGATGAGAGTGACGGCAACACATACGGCAGGCATACCCATATATATATATATATATATATATATATATATATATATATATATATATACATGAGAAAAATGGGTATGTTTGGTACCAATCACAAAAAGTTGTGCTTGGTAGTGATGTGACATAATTCCCTCCACTCATTCAAATGGTTGCATATTCTCATGCACTCCTCAACCCATGTGAATGTGATCCCACATTTGAATGAGTGAAGAAGATTGTGCCACCTCACTACCAAGCACAAAATTTGTGCTTGGTACCAAGCATACCCATATTTCTCTCTATATGTATATATATACACACACATATACATATATACACATATACATATATATGCTTGGTACCAAGCATCATGTTTGGTGTTTAGTAGTGAGTTGGAAGAATCACAACCATAGATGTGGATGAGATAAGTTGGATGAAAAGTACAATTCATGCGACACTTTTTCTCTTTGTACTTTACAATCTTAAATGTGGGATTGAGATGCATCCAGTTCACCATCAAGCATACACATCTTTCTCTCTCTCTTTACACACACACTCATAATGACTACGAGGTGGCAGCTCATTTAGCAAAATGAGCTATCAAGAAAGAGGCTAGTGGTGAGGCCCACCCAACTTATCACATCAAAGGTGTTAGTCTCACTATCTCTTGGTAGCTATAATGGTGAGGTCTATCCAACTTATCACATCAAAGGTGTCGGTCTCACTATCTATCATTGGTAGCTCATTTTGCTAAATGAGCCACCACCTCATAACCATCAATCCCATATGTATGTATGTAGATGTGTGTGTTTTGAATGGTGTATAAACAAAAAATTAGGCATATTGGGTTGTAGTTACTCATGTATAAAGTGATTATAACATTAATGGATTTACGACCATACAACTAAAGTGACAATGAAAAATATGTGTTAGAAGTATTGGAACATCACGATTTTTGTTTTATAGGTGTTTTAATATACTAGTATAATGCACGTGCTTTGCACGTGGACATTTTTGTATTTAATATTATATTGTATAATAAATTATATATAAACATTTTACAAAGTTATTTTATTACGCTATGGTTAAAAATTTTAAGTTATTCTATTATTAGTACTTATACTATTATTAACATACATTTAATAGTTATTTAAATTTGCTTATGTTATTAAACAATTTATTTAAGAGTATAATTATTAAATAATAATGCAATTATTAGTTTAAGCAACACTATTGAAATAGAGACAAAAAAGTAACACTATTGAAATAATTAAACCATTTATATTATTAAATATTTATTTAATATACATATATTATTACATATTATTACATTATCTATTAAATAGTGGAAATAAATTTTAATATTATATGACTTTATGTTATAAATAATATTACATTGTTTGATAATTAATATAATCTTATCTTAGCAATAAAAAATTGGACGGTATAAATTAAAAATACTATTATTTAGGGAAAATACTTTATATAAAATTATTGGATTCTTGAAATTTATGAGACATTTACTTTCCAAAAATGTGCATGTCTCATAAATTCTAAGGATAATATTTTTATAAAAAAATAATTTTTCTAAATAAAATTATTTTTAATTTATAACGTCTAATTTTTATTACGAAGATGATATTATAATGTTGAAAAAGGTTATATTGCTTACAATATAAATGACCAATCCTTATTTGTACTATTATTAATAGTTATATTTATGTACAATAATTAATTAAATAAATAATTTTACTATTTCATTGTAATTAATAATTCTTTATGATGAATTGTAATATATTTATTGATTTTATTATTATTACAAATTATTAATATATTCTAGTGAATGACCAAATATTATTGGGAAAAAGAAAAGGAAAGTATATGTCTCATAAATTTCAAGGATCACAAATATTTTTACATAAATTAATTTTCCAACATAAAAATATTTTTAATTTATAACGTTCAAATTTTTATTACTAAGATGATATTAATTATCGGAACATAGGTGTGAAATCCGGGCCCGGCCTGGCCCAAAAATCCGGGCCCGGGCGGGGCAAAACCGGAGCCCGGACCCGGGTACCCCGGGCCGGGTTCCGGGCCCGACCGGTTTATTTTCTTTTTTTAAAAATTCTATTTAAAATTTAAATTATACAAAAAAGACAAAAAAATTTAATAAAAATAATAATTTTATTAATCACTTAAAATGACATAAATTACAAATAAAAAATTATAAAAATAAATTCTTTATTAATAATTAATAAATCATTTACAAATTATAAGTATAAATTTATTTTGAAATTCATCGCATCACAATAGATAAGTACATCCAAACTAGATTTTTTTAAATTTCTTTTCTTTTCTTTTCTTTTTGATAAAAAATGTTGAAAATTAGTTTAACATTATTATATTTTATATAATTATGTATTAGTATATACTTACAAATTATTATGTAACTATATATTATATATACATATATTAGAAGTAAATATATTGTATATATTTATAAGTTATAACTTGAGAGAGAGAGAGAGAATCGCATAAGTAGTCGTTGCCCGTTGGGCCAATGGGGAAGAAGTAGCCGTTGTAATATACTATACTTATATATACTTATATACTAGGAGAGAGAGTATACACACACACACATTGTACATATATAAGAGAGAGTATACATATATAAGAGAGAGTATGCTTATATATACATATATACTAAAAGAGAGAGTATATATATACACACACACATATATTATACATATATAAGAGAGTGTATACTTATATATACTTATATAAGAGAGAGTATACATATATAAGAGAGAGTATACTTATATATACATATATACTAAGAGAGGGAGTATATATATATATAATTTTCCAACATAAAAATATTTTAAATTTATAATTAATATCCAAATTTTTATTACTAAGATGATATTAATTATCAAAACAAGGTAATATTTTTTACAACAAAAAGATATAACCCTATTTATACTATAATTAGTAATTATAATTATGTACAATAATATATTAAATAGATTTTTTTTATTTATATAATTAATTATTATTTATAATAAATTATCATATATTTATGAATTTTGTTATCATTATAAATTATTAATATATTCTAATGAATGATGAAATAATTTAAGAAAATGAAGAGGTGCATAGTTAATGAGAGGTTATGGATCATTAGCTTTATACATAATGATATAATTGTGAGTTATAAAAATTTTGAGAGGGCAAAAAAGGAAACCAAAAGTTTTGACATGAGTATTCTCTTTTATAAGTAGTATAGATATAGATTTAGATCATGATGAATGGAGCGGATCATCCATTAAAATAGCCCAATCCATGCATCCAGAGGTGCATCCTTAGATTCTATCTAAGGTGGCTCTTTAGAATCATATTTCCTTTACACACACATATACGTATATACACACACATATATATTTATATGTATGTATGTGTATACAGAGTCACAGACACACACACTAGACATTTGAAGGCAATAACTAGGTTACACTTAAAAGGCTATTTCTTGTCTATTTTATGCATTTGAATAATTCTATTTTAGGTTATTGAGTTAAATGGGAAAAGGGAAAACATTACTGGTTTCTAATAGTTTCTCTCCATTCTATCTCAGCTGATTAGCGGGAGAAACGGTTATGATTATAATGCGGTTAGAAGGTGGACTACGCAGAGGAAGTTGGGGTACAGCCTTATTGAATGTGACAAAGTAAAGTTGTCTTTCCTTGTCTGTTTGTCTCTGAGGATTTCTCTTATTATTTGTTCTAATTTGACACGCTTATTTCTACCATGCAGATCTTTGTTCCTATACACAAAGATGTACACTGGTGTTTAGCAGTTATCAATACCAAGGATGAAACTTTCCAGTATCTTGATTCACTTGGGGGAATGGACACTAATGTGCTGAGAGTTCTGGTATGCTAAAAATAAGCTGACTGTTAGTATTCATCAAAGGGTTAATTGCACTTAAATGATCACCTATTGATTCACCAATTTTCACCTAAATTAGAATGACCCCTGTTGTAAAACGTTTTACTTAAACACCCTAAAGTTTTAAAATGTTGCACGTTGATGCCCTAAAGTTTCAAAATATTGGACGTTTATTCCCTCTGTTGGCGAGCAGTCAGAATAATCCTGGGATATTCCCATATGACCTGTCACATGGCATTCTGATGCATATCTATACCCCTAAGGTTGCGTTTGGATTCAAGGATTTCTTTTCAAATTCTAGAATTTGAAATATATAATTCCAAGACCAATTCTATTGTTTGGGAATCATTATAATTTCAATTCTAAATTCTCAATTCCAAATTTAATGTTTGGGAAACATTAGAATTGAACTTCTAAATTTTAGATTTGATTAAAAAAAACGGTGTATTTCAACTCATGTTTCAAATTTCAATCGGCATTTCATGGTTCACATTGTCCAAGCCTCGTGTTTATCAAAAAGGCAAAGATGAGAGATAATAAACATAATGGAATGGAAAGAACTTGGCCTTAAACATTAAGCTTTTATTCACTTTTCAAATAGTATCCAAAAGACTTACATTTATGAGATTTTTTCAAAAACTAAAGTCCAAGTTGACCTTGAAAACTTGTATTAACAGATTCTAACTCAACCAGATATCCAAATATGAACATTTGATTGATATACAAATACCAACGTACTCACAATTTCCAACTTGCGCAAGAATAAAAGTAACAATTTTGGAAGGCCGAAAAGTGTACCCTTCTTCATTTTAAAGTACTCGTACTACTCGACTCAAACCTCTTCATCTCTCTGATGCATCTCTTGAATTGATTTTTCCATTACATATCAACCTTCACCTCCTCGCTAACTGCTAGCATCCTCCAAAGCTTTGCTTCACTCACGGAATGCTTGCAATAGCTTTAAAAAAACACTCACACTCACATGTAGCTTGCACCTCATGATGAAAAGAAATTATTGCCTAATTCCTTACCATGACGGACATTTGGATATCTTTCAAGGCACTGCTGATGTAGAACTTTGACACTGGAAGGTGGTGGTCCACGAACTCCAAATTTGAACTGCAAAAGGCTAGCAAAAGAAGAATTGCAAACGTCTATATTTAGGGCTTTGGTGCTAAATTAATGTTAATTGTTGTAGTCAATATATGGAAACTAGAGAGACAAATTTATATTTATCTCAAATATCTACACCTCCGTTGCAGAAAATGTTAGCAGTTAATTCCACTCCAAATGGAAGTTATCCAAATGGAAGTTAAGTACCAATATAATATGAGAGGAGTATCTCCAGAAATCAACTGGAAAGTGACATCTATCGATGAAAACTAACCAGGTCTTAAGAATGTTTGCATTATACGTTGAAGGAAAACACCCCAGAGAATTGCAGGTTTGATGAGTTAATATCAATTTATAAGAGTTGTATATCTAAAATACAAATACCTAGCACATAACCAATTCAAATTCCAAAATGTCTAACGCTTAGATTCAATAGTGAAGCTTAGGAACTTACATAGTATTATTTTTAAAGGCCAAACTTTACATGCCAATCTTTATTTCTGGCAGATCCACCAGATGGTAAAAAAAATATTTCCAATAACTTTCATGGTAAAAAAATACATCTATAATTAGATACCCAACACTACTGATCTAAGTAATTTTTACATGTGGAGCAAGAGGAAGCAAGAGCCAGCACTGGTGACATTCTTTTCCGATGTGCATACAAATTCATACTCTTTTGCCATAAATTTCATTCTTTAACTCTTAGTGTCAGATTCATATTTTTTCTAGTGTAATTCATTGGATTTAACTTCATGTAGATTTGCCTTGTTTTTTAAAGCTTATTTCATGCGGTTCTCTATTGCATAACCAATGCCCAAAATCTCCTTTTTCATTTTTTTCTGTCAACAAGATGAAAATAAACTAAAAATAACAGAATGTTCAAGATTTAACTAACAAGGAGCTTATTGTTTTGTTTCTAGCTCTTTAAGATTTAATTGAACTATAGAATGCTCAAGATTTAGCTAAACAAGTATTAGGATGAAGGTAATAATTTCATCAATATCTACAACAAACAAGAACCAATAGATCCCACTGTCAAATTAGCAGTATGTCACAATAGCTACATGGATGCCATGAAAAGTAATTAGCACGCCATCATAATCCGACGAGTCTAAACTCGAATTTAATATGGCAGACAAAAGGTTGACGCCAGAATATGGCATGAGAAAGCTTCTATATATTCTACCAGTTTTCTCAGTTAAATTCCTTTTGATTAGTAGCAAATTGCACGTTTGCTTCCTTGTGATAGCCATAAGTATGTCTAAGACGTTAATAAATATGCATGTATAATATAAGACAAGATTCTAATCTTGACTTCATCACTAGACAAGATTCTAATCATAAGGTGACTCCAAAACATTACTATTTGACCTTACATAACCTTTTACTTGATACATTCCATAAGCTTATAGATGATTATGTTCTGCAAGCATGACACATTACCAATACATTAATGCATGAACACAGTCATACATATAAAATTTCATGGTCTTCTAGTAATATAAAATTTTCTTCAATCCCCTCTGATTTTCAATTGCCAGTCAACAAAAACCTCATGTCAGATTAAAAAAAAATGTCATACGCATTATAATTATGAATTCATCCAAAGCTACCAAATAAATATGTACCTAATTGGCATGTAGGGGTGATGGGGTATGATTGAGCGAGGCCAGGGAGAATGGAGATAGACAGGCTTCTCTTGGAACGCAATGAGAAGTGCCACGGCCGCAAGCAGAATCGTGATTAGGGCATAGAGGATGAGGATTGGGTATGAGCATAATCGATCTAGGGGGAGAAAGAGCTTGGATCTAGGGTTAGGGTTTTGGCAAAAGTGGAGAGAGGATTGATGGAGGGAAGAGATAGGAAGTTGAGAGGATCAATTGAGCGCGCGTGAGAAGAGAGAGACAGGGAGGGATATCGAAGTCAACAACAATTGTAATGATCGCGCTTGGAGAGAGAGAGTCGCTGAATTTCCAAATGACATTAATTGGGTTGTCATTTCAAATACCAGACCCAGTATACTTTGTAAACCCTTTTGGAATTGGGCTAATTCTGAATTCTTAATTATTTGTGATCTGAATACTGGAATCCTTGATTCCAAGCAGGCCATAAGGTTCATCTAATTTACAATTAAACCATCCTATGCTGTATTACCCCTTTTCATCTAATTTTCACCCAACTCTCACATTCTCTCTTCTAACTCCCCAATTTCTTTGAAAATCCAACTTATTTTGCAAATGAGTTTTAGGATAGTTTACCTTAGAGATGAAACCCCTATGCTAATCTACCTTAGAATATGAGGGTAATTTTTCTAAATAGAGGGGGCATTTCGTCTTGTTGAGAAAACTATAATGGCGTAAGAGTTCTTAGATGGAAAATACTTTAGGTTATTTAAGTGAAACATTTTACAACTGGGTCATTTAAGTGAAAATTGGTAAACCAATAGGTCATTTAGGTGCAATTAACCCATTCATCAAACCAAAAGACAACTCCTATATATCTGACATATACACCTTGTTCTCAGATATTTTAGTAATTGGAAATAAAGAAAACTGGTCGTGCTTCTGATCTCTAAGTTATAATTTCAACTTGGAAGTTTTAGATGTATGTTGGGTGTATGATGGTCGTATTTTTGACCTTCCTTAGAAAAAAAATCCTGGCTCCGCCACTGTGCTCTTGTTTGGTTATACTTCTATTTACATATAAGATGAAGTTAAGATTGAATGTTTGATTTCAATCTGATACAAGGACATGATTTTCCTCGTACTCCTTGTCCTTCCTGACCTTTGTGCCTATGCTCCTTGCTGCATACATACCCTTCCACATTTGCTTACTTCAATGCGCATGGAGAAGACCATGTGTCATGTTGTATGTTAATTGCTGCAGATCTTAACATGTTATCTGGTTAAAATTAAATTGTCCTCTCATGTTAGTAAACTCGAATTTGCATGAATTGGAGAAGATTGACCAGAAATAGTCCCCAATAAACAATATCAGTTTAACCTTTGAGTAAACCAAAGCCATGCTGATCTAACTATTGTACTTGACTTCACCTGACCTATCCAATCTATTGCTTGGTGAATGTAAGGGCTTCCTCGTTCTAAATCTAATTTGAGTGGCCTGTGACCCAATGCTTGTAACTATACGAGATTAAATTATCATTTGTCTGTAGCTCACAGCAAGTCTACATTTAACAAAAACTTTAGCCCTCTGACTTGTAGAATTCTACAGAACAAATGTCTCCATGAGGGAATTTGATTGGTTTAAGAGCAACTAATGAGAGGATGTATTGCTCTATAATTAGTTCACGAGCAACTTCACTGACATAACATTCAGTTATCTCATGTTTGATGAGAATCATATGGATTTGATTATTGCTGGCGTATTTTATTGTTTGTCCAGCAGAATCTCTCCAAGTTACTGGTGGTTTGTTCAAAAATTTATTGCCAGTTTGTAAGTTATCTTGTACTTGATGCCTGCCTATGATGTTGCTGGTGGTGTAGTGGAAGCTAATAAGGGGATTTAGTTTTTACCTAATCAGTAGTTTATTTGTGGCGCTGTAGTTTGTGAGTTTATCTTTCTTAATTTCCATCATCTTAGTATGTTGATGTGGGTTGAATTGGTTGGTGATTTTCAATATTTCGAATGCATCTTATCAGTTAATGAATTCTTTCGTCTTACAATTCTTGAGGTTCCAGATTCTTTAATGTGCTTTTTTGGGGTATGACACATTTTTGTGTTTGTAGGTAGAGGTTTAAATATTATGGATGCTGAACCTTTTCCAATTTTAACACTCATCTCTTGTTGAATGTTTTGTCTTAATATTATATTTTGAGTTGTCTGGATAAGGACAAGCCTTTGCTATGTCTTCTATAAATGTCAGGCTAAATACATGATGGATGAAGTGAGGAACAAGAATAACAAACAGATTAATACAACATCCTGGAAGCAGGAAATAGTTGATGATCTTCCACTCCAGGAGAATATGTATGTATGCCTTTTCATGCTCCCTTTGCACCTTTGTATGAATTTTCTGAAACTTTGTGACTTTCTTACAGACTCATACTTGCTTCTATGGTCAGCTAAGTATAAGAATTTATCTTCACAGTAGTCTTTCTAAAAAGTTCTAATTGTGGTCTATCCAGAAAGTGAAGACTGCCTTTTTTACCATAGTTTGTAAGAAGAAAACCCTATTCCTTTGTACATTGCACTTCTACATTAAAATCCCTGGGACCACAATAACACTGACAAAATGGAGAACTCTACAATATCATCAGTAACAAAGATAAATTGGTAAAAGTGTAAACCAAAATGGCAATGTGTCAGAAAATATAAAAGGAACACTATTGATTATCTCATTATAAAGTAACGTACTTCAGATAATTTTTATAGCATTAACAATTTCTTTGTATCAGTAAAGCAAACTTTTTAATCAATTGCTCTGATAATTAATGGTGTGGAAAATCCATCCACAAAGAACCTCCTTGGTGATGCTTTTAACATATTGTTATAACGTATCTTTAAAAAAGATGTACTTCATACAAGAATATCATGCAAATGGAGAAAGAACATGCTTAGAGTTGAATATGGGGATTAATCCTTCATGAGGTATTGATACGGTAGACGTCATTGTATTTGGGTATGTGCACTCTCTACCACTAACTTACCCGACACGTTGTCTGGGCTTCAGTACCTGTGTCTGTCACGTGTCCAACTCAAACACTCATTGGACACCTGACACCTCTTTATTTAAACGTGTAGCCAGTTATATAAATATAATACATGTTTAACTTTGAAACACTCCTCATATACTTCTTTGACGTAGTCACTTCCTACAACTTACCCGACACTGGTCAGGAACGTTGCAATTGATACACTGTTTTGAAGTGTGATTTTAAAAGATCGTTTAGGTATCTAGTTAAAAAATGAGCGATTTTCCAATTTATAACCTTAATAAATGAAACATAAAAATATTATTTGAATTTTAGTTTTAATAACGCGCGAATGAAAAAACAAAATTGATCTTAATTAAATTTATTAATTTCGATATGTATATATAGCCATGTCTGGTATCCCTACCATTTACAAATTTACCGTGTCCAGTAACATACCTCGACTGTCATGAATGAATGCGAGTTCACATGCATGCCACATACTTCTGAACTTGCGAGGTTTGGCATGACCCATTGTTGAAGATTTCATATGCATACAATTTTAGTTTTTAGAGCAAAACTAACTCTATACTTGTATTGTTTGGCATTTTTTTTTAATTTTGAAGTTTATTATTGCTATGGATATCAAATTTCCATTACTTTTGTTATTTCAAGTGCAGAATGCTTCTTTTAAGGTTCTTATAAAATGCTGAAACCTGCATCTAACTAAAATGCTGAAACCTGCATCTAACTAAAATGCTGAAACCTGCATCTTTTTTACTTTATCCTTTTTCTCATACGAGCTGATTTCCTGAGAATGATAGCATCTAACTAGAATGTACTTTCAAAATCTCAACAGGTCTGACTGTGGGATGTTCATGCTCAAGTACACTGACTTTTACAGTAGAGGTTTGGGCCTCTGGTTCTGTCAGGTTTGTAATGTTTCTACAAATTTCAACCAGCATTTAGTTCAAGTACACTTTTGTAACCGTCTCACTTGAGTTTTTCAAGACGTTGCTGCCTTGATTCTGTGGTTGAATGCTTGAAGTAGCATCTTTGCTACAAGTTATGAACCCATTTCTTCTTCTGCTTCTGCTTCTGATGCAATACACCAACACAGTGAAAATTCTAGGAGTTAATTGTGGAAAGACCCCATGTACTATCGTCAAGGTGAGCTTACTACCCCAGTAGTTCTATTGTGAGGATCTATGTTACTTGGTACTTCTATCTGGAGCAGTACTCGTATCAGACACATACCTGTATTCACAACTGCACCCAAACTTCTTGGACACTTACTTGAATGTATGCATACGTTTATTTGGGCGTGTACTCAGTTATGTAGTGTAATACATGTTTAATTTAAAACACTCGTTATACACTTTGTTGGGCATGGGTCTGGTTCGTCTCAGCCCATAGCCTGTTGAGAAATATTATTTTAAAGGCTCGTTTGGACATCAAGTTAAAAAAAAGAGGTTTTTTAATGAAAAAACAATAATTATCTTATGTAAAATTTTAACTCTAATACGTATAAATCTACATATACATACATTTATAGCCTTGTCCCCGTACCCTAGATGTTACAAATCTGTCATGTCTCATACCAGTACCCGTACTAGTACATGTTTCCGTCCGTGCAACTTTTTGCCGGGACCTCTGAGTGAATTTTTTAAACCTTTTTCAGGGTGTCTGTCTGCAACAATAGAACTAAGGTATTCCTGGGGGGAAAAGCAATAGAACTAAGGGGGTAGTAAGTTCCATTTGGCAATAGTATGGGGTCTATCCGCGATTAACCCAAATTCTAAAAGCTACATCTGATATAGCACTGCCATTTCCAGCTTGTGTTCTTGCACACAATAACATTTCATGATACAAGTGTTTGTGGTATATATTAAGTGTACTTTCATATTGTAGGAGCACATGCCTTATTTCAGGAAGAGAACCGCAAAGGAGATTCTAAACCTAAGAGCAGAATGAATCAGAAGAGATGTTGATTTTTCACGGGTATAAACAGCTGGAGGCAAATGTTTACCGGCACATGCCTTTTGATACTGTGCCTACTCATGAACATGTGGTCTTTCAAGCTCTTCAGGCCCACTGATTGGCCTGCAACGAATCTTGAAAGTGGCTATGCCAGGTTATGATACATGTATAGTTTATTTCGTTGACAAACGACTGTTGGTCGCACTTCAGTGATACTCTGTTCGCTAGCTGTTCCAAAAAAATGAGACGGAGAAGGGTATTGACGGGTATTTTAGCTTTGTAATCTAGTTGTTGTCAGGAGAGGGAGTTGCATGTTTTTCTTTATCATTTTTGTTTAGTCTTTTTTATCCTCCCTCCAAATATGATTCTCATTTACTTGGGATGAGCCCAGCAAATTTTTTTTATGGGGAGTGTTTTGTATTTATAATGGATGCAGAGGAGAGTAATGTCTCAAGTGTCAATGTTTTAGTTCACAGTTGTAAGTTTGTTTTCCGAGACTTGCAAGTAGATTTGGTGAGCTCTTTTCGTCTGAGTTTGGGAATTTTGTCGAACCAGCTTATTAGGAAAAAGAATGAGTAAGTGTACATATGCATTTGCTTCTTTTTTTATGAGGGAGAAATGTATTTATACAGCCGTATTCTACTTTAGTTCTGTGATAGGTAGAAGATTGGGTTTTCGATTTGGATGCGTATTTATCAAATCACAATATGATCTATATAACAAAATAATAATAATAATAATAATAAATAAAATAAAATGAAAAGCACAATATGATCATGATGTCTATGCAACAGCATTAGAATACTAAAGGTCAGTTTGATATTGCTTTTTTGGAGCTAAAGGTCAGTTTAGTATTGATTTTTTGGAGCACTTCTGTTTATTTATTTTTATTTTTGAGAAGCAGCTAACAATAGTGTTTGGTCAAATTTTATTTTGCATGCTTATTAAAATTGCTTCTGCTTCTAAGGAGATGTTTTTAGAAGCAATCTCATGTTTTAGAATTTTACATGCTTATTAAAATTGCTTCTGCTTTTAAAAAGATGTTTTTAGAAGCAATCTTAAGATTTTTTAGAAGAACTTCAGGGACGAATGGTGTGAACTTTTGGTATGCAAGTGCAACTAACACTAGGGGATGTTTGGTAACTTGCAAACCGCATTTAATCAGCGCTTATTACAGTAAACCCTCCACATGTTTCAAAATATTAGAAAACTCCTCTTAAGTTTAGGGGATTGTTAAAAAACCTATTTAACTTTAAGATATTATGAGGAAATCTCTATAAAAAACATTATTAGCAATTTTTACATGAGTGGATAAAAATTACCTAGGAATACTTTTTTTTTTGAAGAAATTACCTAGGAATACTTTTGCCAGTGAAAGTTAAGATTCATGCTTCTAAGGGGTTTTTCTGAAAAAGAAAAACTTTGAAATAGGGGTGGTAAATGATCGAATCGAATCGAATACTAAGGTGTTCATATTTGTATTTGTTTAAAATTATCGAATTCGAATGCGGACTCTAATATTCATATATCTAGTTTTTCGAATTCGAACTCGAATACTTGGTATTTGGACTCTAATATTCATATATCTAGTTTTTCGAATTCGAACTCGAATACTTGGTATTTGATAAATATTCATCCGAATACCTATCGAATATCCAAGTATATTTATTCTGCTAAAGAATTTGATTTTTAAATAGTATTTAAATTCATAAATAAAAATTATTAATTTATAATATATGATGTATATATATTTAAATCAAAATTTTAATTAGAAAACAGATTTAAGATTATTTAAGTCTTAAAATCAGTATATAAAACTTAAGTAGAAATGGTAAGTGGATTAAAAATATAACATCATATGTCCAATAATACAAATAATAAGTTGTGATCAAATTTTAAACGAATATTTAATATGCAAACGAATCAAATATACATCTGGTTAAATTCTATTCATTAGTAAACTCGAATACTAAAAAATATTCGTTTAGTGGTAAATGAACTACCGAATCGAATATGACCGAATAGTTATTCAAACAACTATCAAATTATTTGTTAATTATTTGGTTTATTTTCACCCCTATTGAGAGGTGTCCTGATAACCCCTAAACCGAAGGGGATTTTTCTGATACTTTGAAAGTTATGGGGGTTATATTAGCCAAAAATCTAGGGTTTACAGTTCGCTTCCTAAAAAACCCTGTCATCGAAAACCCTAGAAAAAACCTTGAGGGGGATCGTCGCCTCCCTCCCCTCAAACCTCAACCATGGGTGGATCTCGAAGAAAACTCAAAAGAAATCGGGCCAAGGTCAAAGTCGCTCTCCCGAAGAAAAAGCCCGGCGTCTTCAAGCCCGCGTTCACGATCCCCGAGCCCCTTCTGTCCTCCTCCGACGAGAAGCGAGAATGGGACGAAGCCGGCAGCGTCATCAGAAACTACCGATCCTTCGGCGTCGTTTCGAACCCTAATCTCCTCGGTGTTCGCGCTCGGACTCCTCAGATTGTCCAGTGCTCTTCGCTTCAGGTCCCGAATCACGACGAAGATCTCGGTTCCATCGATAGCGGCAGCGATCTCGAGAGTGATGGTCGGTAATCTCTAACCTTTTGTTCTCCTCTGAAAAAAGTTGCGATCTTTGGATTACTTGAAGAGTTTTTTCAGTTAAATTACTTGAGATTAAGCTTAGAATTCGAGATTAATGCTTATATCTGTGCATAGCCAAGACGCAAAGTCCCTGTTAAATCTATGTAAAGCACAAAAATTGTAACTGTTAATGGGAACTGAAAAGCCAAAACATCAATTAATTAGTTGATTGATTGATTCAATCTTGTTCATTCAGATTAGACCAGGTTGATAGATATCTAATGGTAACAAAGACGCGAGTTTTATTTTTACTCCATGCATTATGGGTTATTTTTGTTTGTTTTAGAAATGTTATTTGTCTGTGAATGATTTGAGTTACGTAGACTACTTAAAAAGAAAGGGCCCTCCGCTGAAATTTATTGAAGCTAGAAACACTACAATGATGTGCGCCGTGTTTGTATTATTGTGTGGGTTTACTTTAATCATAACTAAAAGTTCTATCAATCCCTTGTGTTTCTGTTGTTTTTTATATTTGTGCACTTATATGTGGTGGATTCTAATGTGTTGATATCATTATTCCTTAATACTTGGTATTATTATTCCTTAACGAAATGGGGGTCCACTTACGGGAAAACAACCAAGTCCTCATTCTATGGACTCGATGTTCCTAAGTATAGATCACAGCATCATCTAAACTTTTAATTCCTCTCAAAAGTTGAATACTTCTAACTTTTAAACATGGATTAATTGTGGATAGACTCCCTGCAGTTCAATTTGCGTGCACAGTGGACTTTTTTATTCTTGTAAGTGTAAAAAAAAAAGGAAATTAAGTCAGGTGGTCTATCTGCACAATTATAACTATGGGGATTTATGTGTCTCGTTTCTGTTTTTTTCCCGGTTCGTTGCTACCCTCTTGTGAAGAAGGCCGAATATCATCTATTTTGATGTTTTGAATATTATGTTATGTTTCTTCTATAGATCTGAAAGCTGCACTTGGGAAGAAAAGGAGGGATGGGAAAGCTGCACCTTTGCGACCACTGACAACTATTCAACGTGTTCACATTGGCAGATTGATTGAGAAATATGGTGATAATTACCAGGTACTTCAGTATTTTCTGTTGAATGTCTAGATTCAATATGGGAAAGTTTTACAATGTGAAAATGCTATTTCAGGCAATGTTCAAGGATATAAAGCTAAATGCGATGCAGCACTCCGCAGTGACTCTGAAAAAACTCTGCCAGCGATATTATGCGCGTGGGAAATGCTATGTAAACGTAAAGTAACCTCTCACTGACCCAGGGGTTAAGATTATTATAGGTAGTGCCCAATACTTCATTTCTTTTTTGTATGAGATGATATCAATGTTTTCATTTCGTAAAGCACTGCATCTATTATTGCATTTTAAGATCATCAGCAGTGTAATTTGATGTTCAACTTCTCGGTAATACTTGTAGTAGTATGGTTTTGCTTTGAAAGGACTTTTAAGTACTTTGTGCACAAATTCAATTAGCTAGCAGCCTCTACTCTACTGTTTCAGGATTTCGGACAGCGATAGCTCAACGGTTTGAAGATGCATTCAGACTAACTTTGCCGAAGATGAACGGATTTAAGTCTTCATTTTACTCGAGGTTGACATTAAAATCAGGGTTTAGTTGTCTAGCTCTTTTCTACCCCTTCTATAACTCCGGAGAGCTTAGAATTGATGAATTGATGTAGTTGTCTTGAGTGCTAAATCTCCTTTGTACGTGCAAGGCAGTAATTGGCCGTCCGAGTGCCCAAATGGAACGGTGTAACTTGGGATGGTTGCATCTCAATACGGCCGACTCTTAGTCCGCCCATTTCATATAGGATTGTAGTATAGCTTTTAGATTTGGCTTGTATTCAGTTTGAGAAAATCCAGTTCGATCTCAAGTAGGATTTGGGTTCGGAGTGACCCAAATCAACCTGAATCTAGATCGGATTTGAAGGGGAGAGAATTTTGGACCCAATGCGAGAGATGTGGGTTCGTACACGGATCGATCCGAACTACCCATTTACAAACCTGGCTTGGTCTATATCAATGCCAACGGGTGAAGTTGGCACGTTTTTAACTAGTGAATGTCACGCCCCGCTTCCCAAAATACCGGGAAATCGGAACATGAACAAGCCCGCGACGTATTAGATTGAGTAGAAATATACACTATCTTTTTTTCTTTTCTCCTCAATCCAATACGCTAAGCGTCTGGAAATAATACAATGCAAAGGCATAGGTCCCCAATCACAATCAGCAAGAATATAATGAACAACACTGAATAAAATAATACATATCACAACTGAATATCATCCCAGGCATAATATTCGGGTCAACATGCCCTTATACAAGACTATCTGAAAGAAATGCTAGAAAATATAAAATACATCGATCAACAGAATGGAAGGTGTTAACAAAAGTAAATGGAGGACCAATAACTAAGATTCGCCTTCTTCTGCTCGGTCTGCAGAGCACTCCTGTGGGGAATCCTCTAGCTCCTGTACGACTCCGAATTGAAGCTGTCCATCATCTAAATCTGACGTACACCAGAGAAAACAGGTGTACGTCAGGGTGCATGGCACACGGCAAGACCCCACAAAAGAAAAGAACGAACGAAAATCTAAAGCGGAAATCGATACGATAATAGAAACGACAAAAGAACGTGCAACTGGAAATTCCACAAAATCAATCAAGTAACTAGTCGATCATGCAACTAGCGATCATAACAATCATCCAACTAACAAGGTCATACAACTAGATAGAATTAATACTTAAAAATCTACAACAAGAGTACGTCGAGCGAAATAATCCAAACAAGGAAACCCTCATGTATATACCATATGTCACAAATTATAGGTAATTAAATATTAATCCCGATCTATGTATGAAAAGAAACACAACTGGCCTACATCTCACAAGAAATCATACCTAGCCAAGAAACGAGGTCATGTAACTAGCCATTCTATAACAGGTACGCTCATATCACCGGATAATTGACTGTTCACAAATCCCCTACGTGCATCCAATCCCGCTACACATGCGGCCAGAGGACTACACGTAAACCGTTTTCTGCCTGGTCCGAACTCAAGCAAAACTTGGGTGACGAAACGATTTCACTGACTAAAGTGATGTACACACTTCACTTTAGCCCTACAAACCAACCCCGGTGGCGACACCAACCACGGGAGCGAGCCTGGAAGATACATCAACAATCTTATCCGATCACATGAATATTAACTTTCCCATCCCAACTCTTCTAATTTTTCTAAAACAACACGACACATGTCTCTAGGTCACACAAGGCTACTATGGTCATGACTACTAATGGTTCTCAAACACAACCAGAAATAACGAATACGAATGATCATGTACAATAATATCAAGGCATATCACATAATTAAAAGAATGATTCATTACAATATATATATAATATGAGATAAAGATAATGTGAGAAATCATAAAATCAAATTCGACGATCGATAGGTCAATGCAGAAAATAAGGAAAACAATTCATATCGATCGAAAAGGAGATATACACGCTACACGAGGAACCGATCCAAGAAAATGAAATATAGAAAATAATCACAAGTACAATGACGTCACAAAAGAGGAATCCTACAACGTCAACAGAGAAGAAAACTCAGGTTTAGTTCAATTGAAGGTAGGTCGACGCAGGAAACGAGAAAGCTACTTCGGGTCTAATTTTGAATAACGGAGCAATAGAATGAAAGAAAGAGACCAAACGAATCATCCTAGCTATAGAGGAGGTCAAACCGGGGTTGTTAATAAATCAGGACGTTAATCTCCCCTCCTTATTTTAGTGAAAATGGCAAAATTGCCTACAATGATATAGTCGGTTCATCTCCACCATTTGGAGGAAAATCAAGGCGTATAGCCGACACAGGAATGAAACAAATACATAGGCACGAAGGCCATCCACCACAATGATACACAACCACAAATGAGTCAACGATTACAATACAAGGCCATCAATAATATACACGGCCGACGATTATTTATACAAAGCCGCAAATAATAATATATTTACCGGCAGTGAATTTGCAAAGCAAACCTGTACGAGATTCTAAGCTAGTGCATAAGTGAGTACGATAAGGATATGATATCAGTCAATTGCACGAATCAAATGAGTAATCATATGACAGAATATAATTACGAGTATCAATATGACATGAGCATGACTATACAAGCTAACGATGAATCAGAAATGCATATATAACATGAGTGAGTATAAATAAGAGTGTCAACATGTCGATGACAAGGTACATAAAATGTCATTTCTACAACTATCAATTACACAGTCATAAACTATTAATTCAAAAATAATTATTTTCCAAAATAAAATCTTTTCCAAAATAAATTCTTTTAAATTATTTATAATTATTCTAAAAATAATTCTTTTGTTAAATAAATTCTATTAATTTATTATAATTACTCTAAAATGATTTTTCACCAAAATAATAATTATTTTAAATTGATTATTTTGTCAATAAATTCTTTAAAATTATAAATTAATCTAAAATAGTTTTATTTTATTTTATCTTTACAGTATCTATTATCACAATATTATTTTTAATATCATTCGTCAAATAAATCTGTGCAGGTCATCACGTGAATGGTCATACGTTATTGTCCACAGTCCATTTCGTTCACAACAGTTCTATATGTTATAGTTCCCAATCCAATATGTTCACGACAGTTCTATATTTGTAACGAATAATTATTCGGGACACGAGTTCGTATGCATAATTAATATGTGATCAATCTAAAATTATACTGAGTAAGAATAGGAATATTGCAAGCAACTAATTAATTCAGAGCGGTCTAAGAATTGAATGATAAGTCAAAAGAGTATCGGGATCTTGCCTACGAGACCGTGGGGTCTGATGATGAGCGGCGATGCAGCTGCGGGGACGGATCTGGACGACGCGGGTGTAGGAGACAACGACGGTGGTTGTCATCATTGAGGGCTCAACGGGGTTCGACGGGGGTTGTTGGTGTGCGGTTCTGCAACCGGATCTGCGTTGGCATATCGTCGAACACGTGACGTACGATGAGGCGCTGGTTGACGGTGAGCTCGACAGCGATGGAGGAGCTCGGGGAGGCGCTGGAGAGCAGCGGCGGGGGTCCGGGTGGTGGCACTGGCGACAAAAAGCTATAGCACGGCCCTGCGCGGGAGGGCCACGCCGGCAGGCGGAGAGAGAGGCTGGAGTTTGGCGGCTGTGGTTTGCGGCTAGTGGAGGCAGGAGCGGCGAGAGCGGTAGTGCGAGTCGGCTGAGATAGGAGGGGTGGCGGACTCAGAAGTCGAGGAGAGAGAGAGAAGAGGAGAATCATGGAGAGAGAAGAGAGAGAAGGTGATCGAGGAGAGAGGTGTGGAGCTTTAAAATTAATAATAAAAAATTAAGATGTGATTGATGATGAGCTGCTTAGTCTAATTTTACGGTGCGTGTGGACAGCTGTTTTTTTTGGAAAAATGATGTGAGAGAGAACGTGATGAGGGGATGGTTGTTGGGGGTTTGACGGGGAGCAACAGTTTGGATTATTTTCAAATGGGTTCAGGTATTTAAACAAAAATAATTAAATAAATAGTTATGGATATAAAAAAAACTAAACCAATTATGGAATAATTATCTACAAATAAAAACGTACATGTTGTGCTAATACAACAGTTGATACAAAATAGTCAAAATATACACATATTGTATAATTAAACGAGAATAATTAATAATAAAAATATATTTACTTATATTTAAAATCAAATAATTATGTGACAATTATCTACATGATAAAACGTACCAGTTATGCTAATACGACAGCTGATACGTAATAATTAAAATAATACAATAATTTACACAAATAATACTTAATTAATAATTCAACATAATACAAGAATTAATACGTAATAGTATTAGTAATACAACGGATAAATCCCAGAAATTTTTATTGCACTAAGTTAATTTATAAATATAAAAATCATTTAAATAAATATATAATCAGATTTTTAAATCATAGAAAATTCTAGAAAATCAAGAAAAATACAATACTTTTTTAAAAATAATATTTTAAAATACCAAAAATTTATTTTAACTAGTATCAAAATGTTACGGTCATTACAGTGAAGTTGACACGTTCGTGATCCATCTTTTATCTTTATTTGTTCACAAGTAAACACTTTTGCTTTTTAAGATCAAACTCCTGGATAATTGAAAACATGCTGGAAAAAAAAAATGAAAGTTGTTTTGATGAGAATGTTAGGAGTTACTCTTCCTAAAACACGATGAGAGAACATAGATTGAGGCCATTTATCATATATACCAATTATGGAAAGCCGTGAGATCACAAGAGCAGTGATACTACAGAAGTCTAATAGAACTTGATTAGAAGCAATTAAAAAATGTACAACAATGGTTAAACTTAACTTAATTTAGAACATAACCCTCCCTCGGTAGAACTTAATGGAAAAATACTATTGATTTAGGTAAACCAAAATTTTGTGATAAAGATCTCGTTCTTATTGTTGTTATTTGTAAGCTTTTAACCAATATAAGCGCTGATAATGAATCCCTTGGAAAATCCGACACCCTAACCAAACTGCTGATGAGAAGAGTTTATCTCTTCACTTTGCATACTAATTCTATGATAATTTCGGTGACACGATGAATCAATCAGAAATGTAAAATTCAATAGCGAACTTCCAATAGTTCACGCACAGCTATCCACAGTAAAGCTTCCCGAGAGGACTCCCACTAGGCTTGGTTTGGTAGGAAGTATAAGGAGGGAAGGTAAAGGGAGGTAAGAGATACATGACTTTTTAGTTCATTTAGCCTATTCTCTCTTCTCACTCTCATCTCCATCCCAACTGGAGCGATTTTTTCTCTCTTCACTTTTTAGTTCATTTTACATCTTTTTAATTTTTTAGTTCATTTTACATTTTTTTTCTCTCCTCACCTCACTTTACTTCACCTTACACTCTAAAAACTCCTGGCCAAAGCGAATTTTTTAATTTGTCCCTTACGTTAGTCTACCTCCCCTCCAACCAAACCAAGCGTGGAATATGTACACTACTTCGAGAAAACAAACACATAAAACAGATACCTAAATACAAGCAAGCAGCAGTAAAGTTTAATGCACCAAACAAAAGCTACTAAATTAATCATAGGCAAGCTCCGCAGGCGATGATAGGAAAAAGCTGAAAGAAACCAATAAAACTGAATTAATCTTTAGTCTTAGACACCCACAAATGCTCGACTCATGGATTCCCAGTGTTCCTTGGCCTTGTGAACTCTATCAGCTCTCTCAGTCCGCAATCTCTTCTCCCAGTACACGGGACATCTGCTAAGAGGAGGAGTAATTAGGTAAACTTCACTTAATTACAACCATAGCTGCTGAGTATAGAAACAAAACCAAGGATCGTAAGGGTACCTTCGTCTCAATAACATGTTTAGCTCCTCCAAGCGCACAACACCCTCGTATACTCCTCCCTGGCGCATGTTGATATGAACGTTACGAGCACCCAAAGTTAATCTTTTCAACAACACTACGTGATATAGAAGTGACTATTTGTCACACTGATTCTACTTTCTTAGCACATATACCTACGAGTCCTCATGCCAAGATGTTTATACCGTTGGTTTTTGACTCCTTATGGGAGTCACATGATGATTAGAGTTGGATATTTCTCACACAAGATATCATAGGAGTTTAAAAACTAATGTGAAACACCTGTCACTGGGTCAGAGGGTGTTTGTGCTAATGAAGAGAGAGATGCTGCTAATGTTGTTTTTTGAAACCTTTTGCGATAGAGGTTTTTGTCACTCACATGATGCTTTAGGTTTGGTACTATGGAGTTATGTTTTGTGTATGTACAGGTTTGGGGTGTAAATGTTAGTCTGATGATGTTAGCATTGTAAAACTTGTAAACCATATTCTTGGAGTTGGGGATATGGTTTGATTTTGATGTAACGACCATCCTTTTATTTAGCTGGCTCGCTCGCGTATCTTTGATATTCCATCCTTTATAAAAAAAACAAAGGGGAGCATCTGCAAATAACGCTAGAAAAGATAGTTAAGAAATTTACCCTCCGACATAAAGGGCATTTTGCTTTGTGATCTGCAGACTGGAGACCATCGACAATAGAAACTGATGCAGAAGAGCAGCAGCAAAAGTAACAGAAGATATGACCGCAGGTAAGAGAAACTGGATCGAACACTGTCTCCTGAAATAAATAAGTAATTCTATGAACCCATGAAACTAATTGCACAGGAAACATTTGGATTATAATCATAAGAACATCATAAATATGGGGGTCCCTGGTAGCCCCATGTGGTTTGTGCACGTACACAACAAATATATGCCCCCACGCCTACCCGCTAAATTTTTGATGATGGATTAGTCTATTGATCACTTCCAATAATCTCAATAGAGAAGTACTACGTATACCTGCTAATGCTAATATCGATTCTTCGAGGAATCTTCTAATTCTTCTACTGAAGAATCTTGATAACTACCTGGAGAATTACCGAATCTTGTACTTAAAATGCCAACAATCTAGTTTTCATTTTCCCCCCCTGTTTGATTGTCTATGTACTATCAATCATGATCACTTCGTTATCATTAAATCTACAACACACCACAACAGTGGCGTGTTTTTGCTAGTGATAAATTCGTGGCAAGGTGTTCCAGTGTTCTCTTCCAAAAGGTAAATCTTGACATTTTATGCATACTTCTTTATATTACTAGAATTTATGAGAGGTTAAGTAGGCTTATTTTGCTCCTTAAAGAGTAACAAAGGGAAGCCAACAAAGAATTACTTTGACCCAAGAGGTTAAGTTGGTGGGTTTTGTTGATAACAAATTATGTAGTACTCACTTTTTTCCTTTAAGTTTCAAGTTCTTTTCCAAATTGGACACGAGAAATGTACCTGAGAAACTCCAAGAAAACAAAAGCTCACGACAAGAATTAAAATACTAAAATTAATCACAAACTCACCAAGCATAAGGAACAGGTCAAATCCACTTCAAGCTTCACTGAATCAAATAAGCCACATTGAAGAATGGGTCTTTCATCATCAAATGTGAGCAAGCAATTGCCAAATATGCCAGGGATCGCCTTCATGTTGGGATCTTCCTCTCTCAAATTGATGTAGAAAGCCAACAATTCACAGAGCCATGGAGATTTAAGGGTCTCAATGTGCAAGCTTTGTGCTTGAGCTCGAAATGCTTGCCCTTGTTTAGAATAATGAATCTGGCAGTTGAAAAAAAAGAAGAACTGATAATTAAAGGTAATGATGACAGTACTAAAAAAATTGAAAATTAAAGGTAATGAAAACCCTACTATATGCAATGCAAACAAAGGAATCAGCCAGTTAGATTTGAATTGTTCGTCTTACACATGTCCATAAATTTAGAAAAAGTTTTACGAATGGGTTAATTGTGGATAGAACCCCTGTACTATCCCCCGATTGCAGATACATAGAAGGAAAACACTAGAAGCACACATTGTGTCACACCTTGGGGCACACCTCCCTCTCTCAGCTACAGTGCAGGGGGCCCACTTGAGATTTTTAAATAAATCTCAAGTGGGCCCCTTGCACTGTAGCTGAGAGAGGGATGTGCCCCAAGGTGTGGCACAAGGTGTGCCTCTAGTGCCACCCTACATAGAACCCCTTACTATCTCCCAAGTGCAGATAGACCCCCGGTACCAAGCCAATTTCGGATAGAACCTTCCTACTTTTTCCTGCAGATAGAGCCCTGGATGATTTTTTTTACTCTTTTACCCTGTGAGAAAGAGAACAGTTTTTTGACAACTAGATCTCTTGAGAGTAAAAGAGTAATAATAATAATAATTCACTCAGTGGGTCTATCCGCATTTTGGGTAATAGTTCAGGGCATTTATCCGGAACAATAGAATTACATGGGGTCTATATGCAATTAATCGTTAACAAGTTCATGATTATACCCCGATATAGATCAATTTAAATATACGTGGCTCGCGCAGGAAGAAAATACCAGAGCTTAATAGCAAGACCCAAAGTGGCATACCTTGTCATATTTCTTTAATATCTTCCTCATGGCAACAGAATTAATGATAGCATAAGCGACCAGCTCTCTGCCTTCTTGTATTAAAACTCCATGATTTCGTCGCTTCTTGCTTCTAGACCACTTGAAATACTTGCGAAAGCCTGAAGTTAGATGCAACTCGAGCAATTTCTGGGCGCGCTCATTGAAGCAACTGGCAACTGCCGACTTTTCCTCAAGAAGAGCAGGGAAGAAACTTCCATCACACACTGCATGTAAGCACGTAGGTTATCGAGACGGTTAGCGAGGAAGTGGTTCCTCCTTCAATGAATTCATCACACTTGGATCTTTTCATTGAGAAACAAACGACTAAAAGATTATAAAGAAACCTCATAGATTGATACTGTAGGATTAATTTGCGAGCATGATTCTGAAGAAGTGTACATGTAAGTGAACTTACACTACAGAGCTTGTTATCTTCCTTTGTCAAAAGTTTCATCAAAGCAACAAGTTGAAATAGGAAGCAAAGTTAAAAGGTTGTAAAATGCATGTATAGTTTATTCTTATGTATGTCATTTATCATGTTAGCAACATGTAAAGATGTTCAGAGTTTTCTTTAGGGTTTTCTTTATGCATATATCCTAGTAATGGTTTAACCATAATTAAAATATTTCTCTTTGCATGTTTACTCATCAAACAATATTAAAATTATCTGTATATCCTTCAAGAAATACTGGAGTTGCATTGTGCCCATGATGTTAGTACGCACACATCCATTCCATTAGATAAGTACTGATAATACTAGGTTGCATGTAGATACAGTAAATTATTGTTTCGTTCTTCATAGTTATCATAACTTACATAGTAGATGGTCAAAATGAGTCATATAATTTGAGGCACTGGTTGGATAGGTTAAAATATTTGATTACTTTGAAATGCTAAAAAAATTTAACAAATTTCAATGAGTTTTCTCTATATAAGTTAAGAATAAGCATAAATAATCACAGAAGAAATTATGGAGGCTCATTCATTCGTATATATTCTATATATATTATATATATATATATATAATATATATATATAATATATATAATAATATATATATATATATATATATAATATATATATATATATGCAAAATAGATACGAGGTCCAAAAAAGAAAAACAAAACAAAATTTGTAAAATATATATATGATACAAGAGTTCTATTAATAGTTGGACATGTACAAAAGCTAAGATTATATCTCCAGACCATCAAAATTAATCTCAAAAACTATTAATCTAATGGTCAAAACAATTGCACTTGTATGATCAACAAATATTCAGATATTTCTGTCACCATATGTTCATTTCACATATATATCCTATGGGATATAGGTATTTAGTATCCATATTTGTATCCAACTAAATATTATAGAAATATATTAGCGGATACAGAATTTTCTTTTTCACCCCTTGATGTAGCTTACAATGCAGATAATAAGCTTTGCTTTCAATTTCTATTTGGTACAATATAATACACGTGAAAGACATTCAGAATGTAGAAAATGATAAAATAATGAAGAGTGAATCAAAATTGAGCTCCATACATAAAAAATGTCAGCAATACACCAAGAAGCAACAAGAATGAAAACAACTTTCTTGACTTTGAAGTAATCTTCAATTGAAAAAGACTTGATATTTATCACAAAAAGCAAAAGATGGATATGTATCAGATTTATATCCTACAAATCAAGCAAAAAGAATTGAAGAAATGAAACAAAAAAGAATTCGCAAAGAGGACAACTTCCCGCCCCCAATGAATTTATAATTATAACCCAAAATTAAAAAGAAAAAGAAAACTCAACATGAGAGCAATCAATCAAAAGGGCATCGTACCAACAAAATGACACAAAACCAGATGGAAAAGAATAATAATAAATAAAAATAAAAACGTAAAGGAAAAACTCAAAAAAGAAAAGGTGTAAAAAAAAGTACCGGGGCATTGATCAGGGCATTTGGGTCTAGCAATTGAATCTCCACCATCAACTGGGTTGGGCTCCATTTGATGATCCCCGGATTGGAATTCTCTCCTGCATCTCTTTAATATCTTCTTCAGCTTCTTTAATCCAACCCCAGGGAGCTCCTTCTCCTTTCCTTGCATGTACTCTTCGTATCTCTTGCAAAACTTCATCTTTTATTTTTTCCTCTGTTTCTCTTCTCTCAGAATCAATCAAATCAAAGATACATGGGATTTTTTTTTTTTTAAATTTTCAGGAAATTATATTCGAAAGGACAATATAATCGAAGGTGAGTAGAAAGAGGGGGAGGGAGGGAGAGGATCGAAGAGTGTACTGTTTATCGAGCGCTAAAAACGGACCCAATTCATGGCTTGAATATTTGTTGTTGACCGCGTTAATAGCCACAAGGAAATAAAGGAAAGAAACTATATTTTTTGAGCTTTGCTACAGTGACCAAAAATACGAGATCAACAGGGGAGACATGTGAGGTGTCCCCCTCCTATTGCATAATGAGCTGGTCATCATTAATGATGACTAACTCATTATGTAATAGGAGGAGGACATCTCACATGTCCCACCTGTTGGTCCCATATTTTGAGTCCTTGAGGAATTTTTCATATTTTTTTAGTACATTTAATAAGCAAAATTGATCGCGGCGAACATTTAATTAAAAAATACATCGTATATCTAACTATTTAGGGCAAACAACATAAACTGCATGCAAAGACTGCTGAAGTGCAAAGTGATTTCAAAAGCAATTTAGTGAGGATCTGTTTGGTTGCATTATTTCTCGAGTGAAAGTGGTGTAAAGTGGTAAGAACATGGGGTCAGCTTTCACCATTTTACAGTGCTTGCATGCAACTTTAAAACCAGTATAAGTTGCTGATGTGTTACCCAATTGGTGATGTGTCCCTGGAAACATAAACTTTTTCTTTGAGATATCAAATTTCTTGTTGTATATATTAATTGAGAGATAAATGTGGTTACTAAGGGGTTGTTTGGTTCGTTTTTTAACTCGGTGGAAAAGTTTTACACCGGCTCCACATCAGATTTTTCGTGGCCACGTAGGATATAAGCTTTCTGTCGGTATTTTTTTTCTCATCTTTGGTTCGCTAGGGTTGAAGAAGGGAAACTCGATGAAAATCGCCGCCACATTAGATTTTTTTCTCTTCCCAAATTCCTTCCTCAACCTCGTGAAATCGACGAAAACTGCAGCCACGTCAGCTTTTTACCATATAAAAAAGTTTTTCCTTTTTTCCATGCGAACTAAACACAAGAAAAATAAATGCATTGGTGTCTCATCATTTTTTTGTGCGAACCAAAGCGAAACAATCTATTTCTTGGAAAAGTTTGGAAAACTAAAAACTTGTGTTTTTTTACATGAAAATGCATTTCCCTATGTCTAGAAAACGAACCAAACAGCCCCTAAGTTTTTTTTTGGATACTAGTTCTCGATATCTTTAATAATTTGAAATCAGTCTCTCAAATCTTCATATTTTAAAATTAATCCCCAAACATATAAGTAGTTGGGAATTAATCCCCCATATTTTTGAAATTAATCCCACAAAAAATTATGGAGGTAATCTTACCCATGGTGAATTGAAACTTTTGAATGGACTCCACAGGACAATCATTTTCTAAGTTTACACTATGCAATTCAAACAGTGTATTACTATTATTTTAGGATTCACAATGATTTCTAACCAAACAATGTAAATATTCAAATGAAAAACAATGACGTGGACAATCACTTTCCATATTGCATCATAAACACCCAAGTTTACACAAGGCATCCAAACCGCCAGTTAGGTACTTGGATAATTTATGGGATAATTTATGGGATAAATTTTTAAGGTGTTAGTCACATAGAACTAGAAAATGAGATATTTTTTTATAGTGTTAGTCAAGTAGAACTTTTGTAGAACTAGAACTATATTATTTTTTTTGTGCGTTAGTCAAGTAGAATTCTACTAGAATTAGAATTGGGATAATTGGTCATAATTATCCCACAAATTATACTACCTATATATATAACCATAAGTTCTTCTCTCTCAAATTATCCCACATATTGGAAAGAATACAATTGGGAAAAAAAAGTGAAACGTCACCTCCCTCCCTCTTGGTTAGTTTCTCCGCCTAGAAAATTTCTTTGCCATGAAGTCAATCATCCGTTCATTTTTCTGTCTTTACTTTGTTTTTGTGATGATTAGATCTTTTATTATTATTTTTAAGATGTATTACTTTATTGATAGCTTTTTGACGTTAAATTACTTTATTATTATTTGTTTGATCTAAGTTTTCTCTCCACAACAGTGGTTTAGGTTAAGGGGGGGTTAGTCACCTAGAACTTAAAATTAGAACTGGGATAATCTGTGGGATAAAATTTTAAGGTGTTAGTCACATAGAACTAAACCTAGAATAAAATTTTACAGTGTTAGTCAAGCAGAACTTTAACAAAACTAGAATTGGGATAATTGTACAAAATTATCCCACTTTTTTTATTTTTCTATACAAAAATGAGAGTTCTAGTCTCTCAAATTATTCCAAGTTTTAGCTTGGAACTACGTGGTAAAAAACTAGAACTCGTATTTATTTTATTATTTTTTATTTTTTATTTTTTTCTTTACTTATTTCCTATTATGGTTATCACCATCATTAGACCATCATCATAATAATAATTGTCAATATCTTATAGTCTAACCAAAAGTTATTTAATAGTAACGAACATTCTTGTAAGCAATTATCAATTAATAGTAGTAAGTTTAAAATACATAAAGAGTATTTATATCTTTTATTTTATCAAAATATCCCGCTTTACAAAATTGTTCCTAGTTATCTCACTAAAATATCCCACTAGCGAAATATTATTCCACTTAAACAATTATCCTATTTTGCATGAAAATGTCCCAATTGACTAACACCCCCTAAGAATATAGTGTTGGTGGGTTAGTGCTAAAGATATGCGGGCTATTTTTTTTTATATAAGTTAGAAAGCAACTTTGCGATCACATTGATGATTAGATGTTGAATGGTTAATGATGATATCTATTATTATTAAATCGGCTCAGTAAATTGATTGGGATATTTATAATTCATCTGTCGATCATCTGTTTAGCGGCCATGGATGATTCCTGTATACATTTCATTTATTTGCTGATTTGGTTTCAGCGATCATGATGAGATTGGTCCAAAGGGTTAATGGCTGAAAAATGCTTATTTTTCTTTCTTTATGATGTTATGAGATTTGAACTTCGACATTTATGATCCTCCACTAGAAGCTCCACGAAATGTTGCTGATGCAGACAATGACTCCGATAAAGAAGACGAGTTACAGACTCAACGAGCAGCTGTAGGAGCTTGGAGAAATTCTATGGCAGATGTCCTGTGGGATGATAAAAGCCATGTGGGATGATGGAAGTCGAGTCACTCTAGGGATTTAGATTTTTATTTATTTGTAAATTATTTTATTATTTGAGATGAATAGTGATGTTTTATTGCATTATATTTTATAGTTATTACTAGAATATGCTTATCAATATTATATTATTTTTAATATACAATTATTAACAATAGTATTTTATACCCACCATTACCCCCATCAAATTATCCTACCAAATTATGCAACTTCATAATATTATCCATCATTATCCCACCAAATTATCCTTCCAAATTATCACACTTTAAGAATTACCCATCATTGTTCCACTAAATTATCCCAGTGTCAAAAAATTATCCCACTTTACCAATTATCCCAGTTCTACTTAAAAAGTTCTAGGTGACTAACCCCCCTAAGAGTAATCCCATATTACTCCCTCAAATCTCAAAAATGCTCATTAGTCCCTCAAATCATAGGGGACCTTGTAATTTGGTCTCTCAATGACAAAAATAACTCTTATTTATGATTTCTCTTTAAAGATTCATCTGTTAGACCCTAGAGGGGGGTTGATTAGGGTCTTACGCTAATCTAATCTGATTAAATGCCAATTAAAATTAATTATCAAGTTATCCTAGCAAGTATGAAATACAACAAAATATATGAGCTAGGATAAACAATATGAACAATGAGATATATCCTATATGATGAATTATATATGCAAGGATATATAAACTAACACAAGGGTAAACACTATAAACAAGATAGTGGATGAAATAAATGAGCAATGCACAATTGGCGATATAGGATAAATGCAAAAAACAAATGCGCCAATGACAAACTCAAACAAGCAATATGATCACAGAGTTCGGACCTTCCGTCCTACGTCTCCGCTCCCCACTCCCGGGGAGAAATTCACTATCACAACCGGGTTTTCTACGCTCACCCGAATAACGTTTACACCTCACAGTGTCGGTTTTCAACGCTCATCGATCAACGTCACTCCTCACAATCGGTTTTCTAGTTCACCGAAAACTTCACAACACACTCGGTTTCTAGCTCACTGAAAACCTAACAACACTCATAATGTAACAAATATAAATTTGTTCTCTACAATAGATGAGAACTCAATTAAGCACAATTCAATGTTACAATAATAGATGAGAACTCAATTAAGCACAATTCAATGTTACAATCTCTCACAACCCTAATATACTATGTATGAAAATACAATAAGCTCAAGTGGGTGTGTGGGTGTGTGTAACAATGAGATTCAATAAAACTTAACTCAATAAGAACTAGCAATAAGATTGATATGAAATACAATAGTAGAAATGCTAGGAAATAGAGTTAAGGAAACTTCTCTATAAACACAAAGGGAGGATGAAAAATGTTGAAGATGAACTCTTCAAAAGCTGATGTAAACTCCTCTTTGTAGCAGCAAACCCAAAACAAACTTAAACCAAACTAAACAAGCTTAAACCCTTGTTTAAAAACTTCTTTAAAAACTTCTTAGTTTAGTTGAAAAAGAACAGCAATAGGGTATTTATACCCACTCTAAATCTCAGTCAAAAACCCCAAGCCAAAAGACAAAAACAACCCCAGCAAACAGCTCAGGAAAATAGTCGTTGAAGTCCAACCGATCTATTGTCGGTCGACCGGAAATTCTGTCGGTCGACCGATGGAGAGCAAAACACGAAGAAACGTTCTGGACCATCATCGGTCGACTGGTGCGGTCGACCGATGGAGCTTTCGGTCGACCGGACCGGTCGACCGACAGACTCTCTGTCGCCCAGTGATGAAAGATGAAATGATCGGTCGACCGGTGCGGTCGACCGAAATCTGACACATGAAAAACCTGATTTGCTGGTTTTAAAAAGCTGTTTAAAAATATCAAATAAATTCCAAAAAATGTAAAACTTTGGGGAATGATTGTAGACATGATAATAAACATCATTTTACAAAATAGTCCAAAACATGAAAATATAAGATACTTAAAATTTGATGTTTTGACATAAACCAACTTTTGAAACTTTGTGAAATGTTTTTATAGACTTAGTAAAACATGTATAAACTGATATTAAAGTCTATAAACTAATAATATAATATTTTCACAAAATTGCATATTCTATGCAATGTTTTCAAAAACACAATAGAAAATATGAAATATATAATTTCATATATATAATCATAAAAACTCAAAACACATGTATGTATATATATATAACTATATATATGCATAGAAACTAAAACTTATGTATATATATATAACTATATATATATACGAAGAATCCAATAAATGTGTGTGTATGGATATTGAGCTTAGAGTATATAACACACATAATATAAAATCTAAAACTACATTACCCAAGCAATCTTGATCTTCAATTAAGCTTGACTTGGTACACTTGCGGATGAAGCTTGAACTTGATCTTTAACTTGAATTGTATAGGCTTCAACCCGACATTCCGCCAACCTCCTTTGGATATCATCGTTGAAGCTCTATTCCATCCATCCTCCAACTCGTTGTTTGCCTAGAATAAATACGAAAACACAAACACTAGACAAACAACATTAGTAGTAAATTGTTTGTAAATTATCATCAAAACAAGAAGGCCAACATCATCTCCCTCAAAAAAGTTATTTACACTTTGGTACTGTGAAGTTTACACTATTTAACTTTAATACCAAAAATTTTAGATACTTTGATACGATCTAAAGTCCACTGCACCTTTATAACGTTGATACTTCAAAAAAAATTCTAACACTTTTCTTATGACAAAGTTTATATCTGTTTTAACTTTAATTTCTCAAAGTTTTGTTTTTAACACTTTGATACCTTAAACTTTAGGGTATTAAAATTAAAAAAAAATATAAACTTTGAGGTATCAAAGTTAAAAATTTGAAATCTTTATGAAATTTAAAAATGTATAACCTTTAGGGTATCAAAGTGTCAAAAAATGGTCGGGGGTATAAAAGTAAAAAATGTGTAAATTTTGTGGTATCAAAGTGTAAAAAAAACCTTGTAGGTATCAAAGTTTAAAAAGGAATAGACTTTAGAATGCCAAATTGCAAGGAACTCTTTAAAAAACATGAGATGATGGTATTTTGGTCATGGAGGGATTAAATTACAATAAGCCTAGGATTTGATGGACTAATGAGCAGTTATTGAGATTTGAGGGAATAATATGAAATTATTAAAGATTCGAGGGACTAATATCTGCATAACCCTATGAAAAAAATGACCTCGAAAATATTAGACGAGGATATGTTTTCAATTGAGAGACTAAATTGTAATAACCATAGGATTTGGGGAACTAATGAATACTTATTGAGATTCGACAGAGTAATACGAAATTATTGAAGATTGGAGGGACTAATATCTCAATAACCCTATGTAAAAAAATGGGTTCACGAAGATTAGAGCCAACAACCTTTAGGCCAAATTTGAAAACTTTTACAACCTGAACCACTTTTCTTTTGAGTAAGTTTTGGCAAAAGTTTTAATTCTGTTGATTTTGATTGATTAAATTTTAGGGCTCGTTTCCTATGTTTGGTATAAACTTTCAACAAGGATAAAATTTAACCTTATACGGATCTCTTCCATTCTTAACTCAGAGTATTAAAAAAAAAATCATAGATACACCATCTAAATTCATAACCTACAAATCTTCTATATACTATATTAAACCTCTTACCATTCAATCTGCCACTTAGCATTGTTTCTATTATTTAATCACTTTTCCAAAAAAAAAAAAACTAACCAAAAAAACAACTGACCGTCCACATTTTTTCTCTCTCACATATAAAATCTCTCTCTAGTCGTCTCTTTTCTAAGATTTTTTCCATTTAGGGGCTGTTTGGTTCGCTATTATAAGGGGTGGAAAACTCAGAAAACCCCTCCACGTCAGATTTTTAGCCCTCCACGTCAGCTTTTTTGTTTCCGTCCATTTCTTTGTGCCGCTTTGGTTCGCTCGAATGGAGGAGGAAAAACTCTGCTGAAATCGCTGCCAACTAAGATTTTTTCCCTTCTCCGATTTCCTTCCCCAACCAAGTGAAATTGATGAAAACTCTGCCACGTCAGATTTTTTTTTTTCCTTCTCTGCTTTGTTTACAAAAGTTTTCCTTTTTTTTCTATGCGAACCAAACACAAGAAAAATAAATACATTAGTTTCCCATCATTTTTTATGTGCGAACCAAAGCAAAACAATCTATTTCTTGGAAAAGTTTGGAAAACTTAAAACTTGTGTTTCTTTACATGAAATTGCATTTCTCTATATCAAGGAAACGAACCAAACAGCCCCTTAATCTCCCATTTGAAGAAAGGAGCTTAAGAAAATTTGAAAAAATTTATACACATGGACCATGGTCAGCCAAGCTCATGTCCAAAAACTCAGTGCATCTAGATGGCTTTATAGAGCGTGATCGGATACATATTATGCATCATATACATGTTTAAATAATGTAAAGCTAATGTGGGACTTGTTAGAAGTTTGGTCACGGCTATTAATTCGATAGGTAAACTATGTATACATTATTGTTGTGATGCAAAAACAGTGTAATCTTTCTTTTCTTGCAAACTCCCAAACATATATAGTGTAAGATATTAATAAAATTCTGATTACTATTTTTTTTAATTTAAATTTATACTTACGGACAGATTAATTTTGACTTGCATAGATGTTGCCTAGTGAATAAAGTTGTAAGACAGCGGAGTGCAGCAAAAAAGAAAATAAAGAAATAAAGTCGAAAGAAATAAAAGAGAAAAAAGTTGTGTAAGCCTTTTTGCATATCCTATCAACTTCAGAGCTTTATTTTTGTCCGTCTTTGCAAGCGTAACTTTGTTTGAGTGGCGAGCAGCTGAGGTATACATTGCGTTATTACATTCTGCTGGGGAAGAAATTTTCACGGTAGACCCAATCCCAGATTTAATCCCTAAAACCAACTCACTTTAAATTTATTCATGAAAATCGACCCACTTTGAGTTAATTGCGATACTAATTAGCCGGGGTTGTCAACCCCGACTAATTAGTAGCCTAATTACAAGCGGGTCAGGGAGCAAGGAAGGTTTGCGGCTGCTAATTAGGCTACTAATTAGTCGGGGTTGCAACCCCGACTAATTAGTACCGTAATTAATTCAAAGTGGGTCGATTCTCATAAATAACTTTAAAGTGGGTCGGTTTTAGGGATTAAATATGAGAATGGGTCTACAGTGAAAATTTCTTCTACATCAAATTAATCTATCTAGTTTATATATATTAGTGAGCTCAAATTAAAGTAACAACGGGTAGTATATTATTTTCCTTTTATTCCCATGCATTCAATAAAGAAATGATAAAAAATAAAGAATTAAAAAAAAAAGATTCAAGATTCAAATTTTAAGATCTCACCTTCTGAACATCATGACGACAGAGCTCGTGGCGATCAGTCTGGTCAATATCAAATCAACATCAGAAACAAGATCCAAACGAGAAATCAAACAACAACTTTTTCACCAGAAAATCAATATAAAAAAAGATAAAAGAGAAAATTACAGTGGATTCGTTGTGGCAGTGTCGGCATCCGAAGATCTCGTTGCAGCAGGGAGCTCGGATCTTGCATCTCCTCCTATAGTGCTTGCACCTTATTCCAAAAAAAAAATCACAAAAAAATCACAAAAAATCAGAAAAAACAAAAGATTGATTCTTTAGAACGAAACCGTACCCAAACTCCAGCTTTCCGAAATCGAGGCGAGAATTGGTGGTCGCCTCCATCGCCGGCGAGAGATGGAGGAGGGCAAGATTGAGGAGGGAGAGAGAAGCGGAGTATTTTAATTGAAGAGGGAGGGGGTCAAAGTTTCGATTTTGTGGGTTTTGAGGGTGTTTTTTGTAATTTTCTGGGGGAATAAAGAAAGGGCAGTTGGGATTGGAACGCTGTCCGAGAACGAGTAATAGGGCAACGCCGAGCATCGGACCAATGAGTGGGCTTCCTTTGGACAGTTGGTGCATTAAATAATTTGGAAGATGCGGGAGATTTTTGTCTTTTGACAAAAAAGTGAAGCGGGTGCTTTCTTTTCTCTCTCTCTCTATTATTTATAATAATATAACTAATGCTAACTGTAATGTAATTGGAGAGGAAGAGTCAGAATACCACGTGTTCAAGTATCTTCAAGTGTAGGTCTTGTTGATACTTCAGATCTACTTGCTTCTACACTACTAATTCATCTCTGATAATCTTAAATTATGTATTTTCATGTGTCCCCTAAACTATGGAATTAGTCTATTATCTGTCTTTTAAATCTATTTTTTGGCCTCACATTGTCCTCTAAACTAATAAATATGTTTTCGACGTCTTTTTGTGAACTATGAGCTTCAGTACATAGTTACCCTTTTTCACTTATTAATGTCCGAGTATTTTAATCAGTCAAACTTCTAATAATTACAACTAGGACTTCGGTCTACACTATACGTGCATGACAAAAAATAGGAAAAAAAAAATTAAGAAATATGATGTGATTTCTTATAAGCGGATATTGTCGAGTGCGATGATTACTCGGCCATCCCCTCGCCCTCGCCATCACTCTCGCCCTCGCCCTCGCCATCAGCCATCTCGAGCTCGTCATCTCGAGCCCGCGAGCTCATCATCTCGAGTTCGCCATCGTCGTCGGAGATCAACCCTCGTATTCTAGCAGATATCGAGCCCGCGAGCTCATCATCTTGAGCTCGCCGTCGTCGTCGCAGATCAACCCTAGTATTCTAGCTCAGTCTGCCCTCAGTCATCGAGCTCGTCGCCGTCGAGCTCAGCCCTCAGGTCTTTGCAAAGCCCTCAATGATAGTTAGGGAATTTTTAACTTGTAATTCTTGTTGGTTTTTTGTGATATGAATTATGAATATGACCATTTGAAAAAAATGTATAATAGTGAGGATTATATTTGAGTTTAGATTTAGGGATAGATTTATTATTAAATTAGATATGAACTTTAATTTTGGTTTGAACTACCATAATAAAATTGTTTAGTGAAATTGAAAGATCAACTTGATAATGATTTTCTAAAGATTTTGAACTTCTTATATGTGATAATTTGATAGCATGTATGGACACTCTAACAATTCTCTCACGTGATACAACAATGGACGAAGATGAAAATAAACTTATAGCCATTGGCCTTGAAAGCGAGGATCATGATCTATTATTTACAACAAGTTTTTTCTCTCAGGTGATAATATCTTATTGTTTATAGTGTACTACTAACTAATGACATATACCAAAATAGTTATCTTTTAGCATGAGTTTTATAAGTTCTGTTTCTCTATTTTATAGACATCCGAGCATGAGGAGAATGTTGATGAGCCTATTGGCGTTGAAAATGGCAAAGATAATTATGTTGTTCATCCATATATAGGAATGGAGTTCTCTACTCATGAGGAATGTTTATAACTTCTATAATGCATATGCCAGACTTAAGGGTTTTGGTGTTCACAAGGGTCATACAACTTGGTCGAAAAAGAAAGATGCAATCATATCTAGAATCTTTATATGTGACAAAGAAGGCTTTAAATTTTTAAAAGATAAAAGAGAAAATGGTCGGGATGTAATTCGAAAGTCTGATACAATATGTGGTTGCAATGCAAGGACGGTTATTGGACTTGATAGAAGCACTGAAAAATGGATGATTCGAAATTTAAACATTAATCATAATGGTCATCCATTAACCACCCCAAATAGGGTACAGAAGCACTACTCACATCGGATACTTCATCGCTCTCAATCAACAAAAAGGTTGATGAATACTCTTGACAATCAAGGTTTGTGGCCTTCTACCATTTGTAAGCTTGTAAACGTTGCTCATGGAAATGAACAAGGTTCTCTCACTCAACAAGAATGCCAAGATTATCTTAGAATTAAACGAAGAAACAATGTTGGCCATGAGTGCATGAACATAGTTTGTCAATTTCAAGAGAAAAAGGTATATGATCCTTAATTTTACTTTGCACTGGATTTAGAAAATGATGGGATGATGAGAAGTATTTTTTGGATGGATGGTAGGGTGAGGACTTCTTACTTGCAATTTGGAGATGTTGTTTTCTTTGATGTTACATATAGAACGAACAATTTAAAATTGCCATTTGTACCATTTACAGGCGTTAACCATCATCGATAATCTACTCTATTTGGGTGTGCGTTATTGGCTGATAAAATGGAGGAGACGTTTATATGGTTATTTAGCCAATGATTAAAATGTATGTCGGGTATAGCACCATTAACAATCATCACTGATCATAATAAAGCTATGTGTAGTACAATTCACAAAGTTTTTAGAAATTCCATCAAGATATATTATGCAACGATGGACAATTAAAACAAGACATGTTGGTTGCAGAGTTGTTAGAAATTGTATTACAAATAGTAAAGACCAACTCTCTGTCATTAAACATTAGGCCCTTAGGAGTAGATGTAATAAGTCACTAGAAGATACATTGACTTCAAGTACACTTCATGATAAGTTTAGTGCTTTTTTACACTCATTTTTTGAAGAAGTTGAGAATTACAAGAAAGAGAAGGAACATAACAAGAATGGAAATGAGAGCAATGCAAGCAATAAGGTGCCTACTTTATCCACACCCATCTCTATAGAGAAAGCAACTCAAATCACTATTCGTGGTCCAGATAAGCCTGTTACCACGAAGGGACAGTTAGCCCTTATGTTTTGATGATGTTTTACAACCACCATTAACGGTACTAATGGTTTATTGAGTATAAATATAGTAAATTCATTTATCAAGCTTGTTAGTGCCATTTATGGAGGATTGGATGGAATATACGCTACAACGATGATATCCAAAGGAGGAGGAGGCATAATTATGAAGCAAAGTTAATTCAAGAACAACAAATTCATAAAGAAGCTTCATCAAACTTAAAGCTATATCAAGATTCAAGAACTGTATTCTATGTGAGTATATTAGCTTGTTTTCTATTTTCTCTCTAGTGCTAGAATGTAGGCAAAGAGTTACTGATTTTACTTGAAGCTATTGGGAATCACACACACGCCTTCATACTTATGTTTTTAAGCGTTTTTTTACAAAAGACTATTTTTCATAAGTATGAGGACTTATCCACAAAATTCTTTTTCCAAATAGTTTATTTTTATTATTAAAAACATTTTACAAAGTTTCATAATTTTTCAGAGGTCAAACAAATATTTTGCAAATATTTTAAGTTGGTCAAAAACAAGTTTCTGCGATATATCAGAATGCGGTCGACCGGACCGGTCGACCGCACCTATGATCATTCGTCAGTATTTTCCAGAGAGCTTGTCGGTTGACCGGAGCGGTCGACCAAAAGCTCGATTTTTTTGTTGGTCGACCGTGCCGGTCGACCGATGAAGTCTCTGTTTGTTTTCTGAGTTTTCAAAGTTGCTCGCGGTCGACCAGATTTTAGGTCGGTCGACCGAATTATTTATTTCGGTCGACCGAACGTTATTTCGGACGACCAAAATTTCCTTCGGTCAGCCACGACTTTTTCAAATGGTCATTTGCCTAGAATACTGTGCTTTCACTTAACCGTGTTTGGCACAGTCTGAGGTAAGGGTCTGAAAAGGAGATTATTTTCTTAATTGGGAAGATTGGGTTTTGTTTTTAAATTGATTTATCTCTTCTATTTAGAAGATTGGGTTTTGTTTTTAAATTGATTTATCTCTTCTATTTAAACCCTAGACTTCTTCTTCCTCCAGAAGCCCTAACGTTTGCAAAAACCAGAGAGCCTGCTGTCTTCCTGAGAAAATTTTCAAATCTGTTTTCTCTGTGGTTTTTGTGTGTGTTCACTTCCAAGCTTCAGTAATACTTCTCTTTGCCGTAGGGGCTATGTAAAGAGAGAGTCTTGCATCTTTTCTTCTGCTGTGTGAGTGAGATCTTGTGTAGATCAACTGTGAGGGAGTGTGATCTGTTGAGATCAAACTGTGTAGTGAGAGATCGTGTGGGATCGCTGTGTAGACGAAGTTCCGGCTTCCAAACCGGGTGTGTAGTGGATTTCTCCTCGAGAGTGGGGAGCGGGGACGTAGGTCAGCGGGCCGAACCTTGTTAACACATCGCGCGTCAAGGATAACGATTCCTAACTCTATCTCTCTTACTTTGATTGCATTAGAATTATGTGATTTGCTTGTCTTAATCTTTTATTGCATAACTAGAGCCTCTTGACCCTAATCACCCCCCTCTAGGGTCCAACAATTGGTATCAGAGCTTGGTCTCTATATTAATTTTTGGTTTAATCGCCTTAGAGAAAAGATCTAATGGAGGCCTCTTTGAATATGCATATGTTAGAAGGACAATCCACCACTAGACCACCACTCTTCACCGGGAGCAATTTTGCTTATTGGAAGGCTAGGATGAGAATTTACCTGCGTTGCATTGATCTTGACATCCTAGAGCTCATAGAAAAGAAATATGTAGAGAAGTCCAAAGTCGGGAGCATGACCGATGGAGAAAGGAACCTAGCCAATCTCAATGCTAAGGCCATGAACGCCTTAATTTGTGGTCTTTCTCCAAATGAATACAATAGAGTTTCTACGTGTGCAACCGCACACGAAATTTAGGTAAAATTATGTGTCACACATGAAGGAACCCCCCAAGTTAAGGAATCTTAGATTAGTGGACTTATGCATGATTATGAGCTATTTAAAATGCTTCCTAATGAATCCATTGATGCTATGTTTTCCCGTTTTACTAATATCATTAATGAATTACATGGTCTTGACAAGCAATTGTCCATTCAAGAGATGAACTACAAGATACTTCGCTCCTTGACTCCGGCATGGGAGCCCAAAGCTACGGCCATTGAGGAAGCTCATGACCTCACTACCTTAGCTCTTGATAGCCTCATCGGAAAGCTCAAAGTGCATGACAAGAAGCTCAAGGGGAAGGAGAAGGAGGAAGTGCCATCACGTGAAGTTGATGAGCCGTCACCAAAGTTGAAGACCATAGCTCTCAAAGGAGCTAGTGAT